GCATCATTTGCTTCGCTCGCTCCTCTTGAAGGTGGCCGAGACGGCATCAGTTGGCCCAAAAAAAAAAAAAAAAATCACCAAAAACAGAAAGCTGATACCAAAACTAAAGCTAAGAGTAAGACTGCTGCTAACAAGCTTTTGGGTGTGGATCAAGCCTTCAGCGAACATGACTCGCAGTGCCAATCATTATTGCGATGCATGGCAATAAACATCAGAACTTCATTCCGTGATCAGAGTGTGGCCCCACTTCCAAGTATCTTTGATTGGATGTCACGCAAGGATCATCATCGTTGAGCCAGTTGGACAAGGTTCCATTACCCAAGGTCAAGAGAGATTCCAAGGAGGTGATTGAGATTGAGGCATAGCCTACAGAATATCTTATTTTGCGTCCAGCCGACGGAAACTTCGGGTTCCGGCCCGTTCCGGCAAACACAAACTTCGAGTAAACTTCGGGGGTTGCGAATTCGTGCAAAAATCAGAGATTTGTGCCCATTTTTGCATCATCACTTGCCAATCTTCGCACAACATAAAGGACGGCTCCTGTTCATATCATTGATGTGTTTCGGTGTCCTGAAGAGGAAATTGCAATTCTTCAAATCATTCTGGCGGTGCGATGTCCTCGGATCTCACAGAAAAGGTAGTTCCCCAAATCATTCAGGTGTTTCTTTCGATGTCCTCGACGATCTAAACAGAAAAAAAAACTCTTCAGATCATTCAGGTGTTTCGATGTCTGGATCTTAACAGAGAGCTAATGATAATGAAACTTTCTTTACCTTGGAAGTATATAATGCAACTCCTCAAATACGTCTGCATATCAACAGTCTGGTCTATCGACTCCTGACTGGCTCTGGCTCTTCAGATACTCTTTGGATTATGAGTTTTCTACTAGCCCACCAGAACTCAACAGGGTTTAGGGTTCGGGGCGCAAGGTTTGTTTGGATGAACTTCCAGTAAACTTACTGTTTCTGCCTCCACCGAAAACAGTGCGAACATATTTCAGCTGCCCGATCTTAGCAAGATCTTTGCTTTCCTCTGCAGCTTATGTTGCTCTGAATCAACTTTGTCCTCGCACGGTCAACTTTGTCCTCGCACGGTACTCTGACAAAGACTCGGAAGGGCATCGACACTCTCAGGGTATCTTTCAAAGCATCTCTCACAAGATACTGTTGGGGACTGTTAACCCGACACTCTCATGGTATCTCTCAAAGCATCTGTCAAAGTATGAGCTCTGGCAAGATACTGTTAGGTACTGTGGAGGCTTCAGACATCAATTTCTTGCAAGCAACCAACGACAAGAACAACAAGAGCAGGACTTGACGACTCTCTACTCGGACCCTTCTTGAGCGCTGAAAGACTTTCTTCTGCCAGATCTTCGTGAAGAAAGAAGCCCAATCCTTTCATGAGCTTTCCTGGAAATTCAAGTTCAGAGCCAAGCGATAATGTTTGAACATCTTGTTGACCGCATACGGCCCCACATTCCCTTTGAGACTCATCGAAGCTACTCGCTGGAGTTTTTGTTGGAGGTCTTCTCCAACAAAGCACCATACCTCCAGATGATTGCAGAATCTTCAACGTGTGTTCAGGAGCTTGTGTTTAAAAACAGTTTTCCTGCTACCATGCTTTCGGAGCTCTTCGCAAAATTAGGTTTTCACAACTGTTTAGTATTATTGTGCTGGAAACGAGGAAGACAGAACGAAAATGCTTATGATGCTCGTCTGCAAACAAGGATCTGCCCTGGGGGACAAACAACGGCTCAACAATGAAGCATGTTGAAGCATGAGCGATTTGCTTGTCAAAGCAAAGTAGAGCATCCCCTCCGAAGCGAGGTGCAAAGCCAGCTGGCTGTGCAGCAGCAGCCTATCGCTGCATGCCTGTTGAAACAGAGCAGCTGTGCCATCATCGAAAAAAAGCTCCCCTTGTGCTCCGTCAGCATCGTTTCCATGAAGACGTTCCGCTTCAAGAGGAGTGTGACCTGCTTGTGTATGAGCAGCTCGTCGTTGCAATATGTTGTCCAAAGTGCCAAAAGGACCTCGCCAAAATATCTAAGCTCGGCAGCCTTGCCCCTGAGCTTGGGGCCACCAGTCCGACCAGAGTAAACATTGTCAAACGGCCCATGGACCTGTACCTGACAGGAGTCTGATGGACCCTGTAAAACTCGCGAATGAACCGCCAACAAGCCGCGAGGTTGAGCTCTGGACTGCCTTCCAGCATGACGTCGTAGCAAAGGAGAGAGAGCACACTGCCATATTGCACCGTGCCCAGGTACTTTGAATGCATGTAATCAAGAGCAATTTGCAAAGCAGACACTCCAGGTATCGAAAAGATCGGATTCCGGCTTCGATCTGCCCATGCATGCCATGTGTGCGGTCGCCACATGCTTGCTCGCCACGGAGCTGCAGAGCCAAAGTTGGACCACGTCAGGTCGCCGCTTAAGCTTGCCCTGCATAGGGGGCACGGCATTGAAGCATTGTTATAGTTGGGCAATTGCAAAATTTGCGTGAAGTAGTCGAGGTCCCCACAGAGGGACCAGACCACACCGTAGAATCCATTTGCCAGTGCTGAGCCGGCTCGCTCGTGCACGGTGCCTTCTGGAAACCTGTTCTTTTCATTCATGGTTTGTTGGCTTCTAGACAGAATGATTTTCGCAAACACAACAACTCGTACTCAAAAACTTGCGTTTTCTTTTATGTCTGTCTTATATAGTGAACATCTTAGCAAAAGAAAACAATGTTGAGTCTCCTGCCTTCGGCCCTCGTGGTCTCTCGTCGGCCGGTACCCATGCCAAAGAGCAGTCAAAGACCAGGCAAAGATCTTCCAGTTTTCTCGATCAGTCCGAAGGTCCAGTATTGTGTCGACTTGGTTGAGGTCTCGCCCAACAAGCTCGACCATGACACATTCAGAAGCTTCTTGCTCCATTACTCCATTCTATCTATCTATCCCAGCAATGGGTACTTCATCGCCATGCACGGCGAGGGGGATCGCCCCCCTCAAGTCGCGAGCCTGGACTGGATGTCCCTCCCAGGCAGGGTGAGGAACCGTTCGCATACGATCCCAGAATTCCATACGTGCTTCTTCGTCTGCACAAACGTTGCGAACAAAAGCTTCTCCATGATTTTCGTACATAGAACTGAACAGTTCGTGAGGCAGTAACAGCTCTTGTGTATGTTCACCGGGAGGGTTGGCGAAGGAGAGCTTGGCCTTGTAAGTCTCAGCCATGTTGATTCTTGGCTCCACCTTCCGCATAAGGTCGCCGTAGCACTTGTTGCTGAACTTTCCAAAGGAGCCGATGGATGCCAGCACTGTAAGCTCCTCAAGGCAAGGACCAGCCGCTGCACTCGCAGAGACACGGTGCTCTTCTTGCAGAGTTGTAAGCGCGTCTTTCCTGACCGCTGAAACTTCTGCAGAAGCTGTGGGCTCATGTTGCCCCATGCGAAAAGATCCAACAGCTCGCGACCCAAACAGCTGTTGGGACACAGCGACTTCATGAGATCTGCATTATGGTGGGGTTATGAGATGATTAGGGCTACGCAGCCAGTCAACATAAAATAATTAATTTTGCGAAATATTGCGAAATCTTTGCGTTATGGTTTTGCGTTTTTTTTGCTCCCCGGATTTCGGGTTGCGAAATGGGTTGCGAAATGTTTGCGAAATCTTTGCGAAATCTTTGCGTTATCTTTGCGTTTTTTTTTGCGTTGTTTTTGCGTCTTTTTTTAGAACATTTGGAACATTGCAAAATATTGCGGAAATAAGCATTTTAGTTGCTGTTTCGTGTTTTTTCAGTATTTGTTTATTATATCCATATATTATAGTTGTATGACGGTTTAGCAAATATATACTGACAAACATATTAAACCAGTTGTCATGTTTACTTGTGTAACTGGTAGCCAAATTACGCTTTTCCATTTATTGCTCAATTGTTACGAGCTCTCCTCATAAGAAATGTTTGGTCGTGTTTCTCGTTTGTCTCCAAATGTTTCTTTGCTTGACGTGCTTTGTTGGTCTCCACCTGTTGCTGCTGCCTAATCTTGCAGGGAAATTAAAACCGCCCGGCAATTTGGGATTGTCAATGAGATGTGTGCAGGAACACCTGACCAGTGACCACAGTCGATGATTAGCCACTCAGTTTGTCTCTGTGTTGGCCTCATCGTCGATCGACATAGATTTAGAGATTGTGGACTTCCTCAAAACCGTGTGTGTGTGTGCGTGTGTTTTGTGTGTGGACTTCTGATTATAGTCATAGCGAGATTAGAGTGATTAGAGTAGACTCGACCAGTTCTTGGGGTCTCAACAAATTGCAGTTGGTAGGAGAAAGGCTGTTGCATCCCGGCCCAACCAGATTCAGATCCGGTGCGTGTCTACTGATCAGTTTGGCAGAGCCGCAGCATGCCTATGGCCTCTATTCTGCCGATCGTCTCGCCACACCAGTGGCTGTGTCAGTTGTTGCTTCGTGCATAATGGTGTCTTCGGGTAGCACGCTTCGATTCCTTGGGCCCTGCGATTCCGAGTAGTCTGTCTGAGTGCTTCACAAACGTGCTGCACAGTGTTTAAGCCACAAGGGCTCAAACAGGTTTTGATGAAGCTGTGTGTCGAGTCAATGCAGTTCAGCATTTTTGCCGATGTCAGCAGCAAGTATTGATTTTATCACAGTTTATGACGTTTATGATTATGTGATTATACGATGATGGCCACTGTTTGCTCAGCATTGCCAGCACGTAGCGACGTAGCAGGCAGCGACAGGTTACACTTACAGTTGCAGCATGGCACAGGGACACGGACCTTCAGTTCTCAGTTCTGAGGTAAGGGCAGGTAGGACCAGGTAGGTAGGTCGCCAGACAGTAAACACATACTTATACCCTGTAAACCTGGTAATCCTTTTGTTCAGGGCACGTGCAGCCATGGCTGCCGAGTGGGAAGATGTTTTGCGAGAGGAGCTGGGTGAGGAGGATCTGGCTCACCAGATCGACCAATGTGATTTTATCCGCACACCTAGTACAGCTGACATGTCAGAGAATGAGAGAGGGGAGGGCGGAGAGAGCAGCGGTGGCAGCAGTGGTCGTCGGCTCCCGAGCACGTGGTGGGCGGCCCTTCTGAAAGCAGCAGGGCGTCACTTGGGTTTCGATGATATATCTCTTTCACAATCAGAACATGTGAACGTTCTCAGTGCATGCACCGGTTGCAGTGCCGAGTCTTGGGTTCTGAAGGCCGGGCCCCCAAAGATCACCAGTGTTTCTTTCCATGGTTGGGTTAGGTTAGGACGGTTAGGACGGTTAGGACGGTTAGGACCGTTAGGTTAGGACGTGGCGCTGCTTGCTTGAGTCACAGTCTTGTTCTTGGCAATGTTGGGGTTTGCGCTTGTGCGCCGTCGTAGAGTCGTAGAGTCGTAGAGTCCTTATGTCGTAGAGGCATGGTGTAGGCTGGCATCGACCGACTCAATCCTTAGTCACACTCACCAGCCACTAGCAGTAGCACTAGCCTTAGGCCTTAGGCCTGCGTCCTGAGGTTTAATGCATTGGGTAGGGTTAAAGTAGCCACTTAGCTTGGCCGTTAGGTGTGCTTGAAACTTACTTAGCACTTTGGGGCATGGTTGGATATTAGATTCTGCCAGGTTTGCGGGGGGGGGGGTCGGGGTGATGTATCATCAGCACAAAGTCTTAGGCCCAGGCAGGCTTTTCGAACAACCCCCATCCAAGCACGATTTTCCACGACATTGAGCTTGAAGCCAAAGCCGAAGCATGTGTATGGTTTAGGCAATCAACGAAACCCAGATTTGCACAGCAAAAAAGACACAGGCACTCTGTTTCTTTGCAACTTTCCAGGATATTGGCCTTTGTTGTGTTCGAGCTTCTGCGGTTTTGCTGCTGCTGCTCAGTTGACACCGAACTCAACTCCCGAAACTCCTGCAACCTTTTGATCCGTACTGAGCCGCACTGGTCTGCTGCAGGCCCTCGGCATCAAGTTTTCGGTCGTTTCAGCCTCGGACACTGATGCTGATTACCGGGCTTTCGTGATGGAGAACTTTCCCAACGAGATTCAGCACATGTTCTGCAGTATAGAAGATCAAATATCAGTTGCAGCAGAAAGACCTTCGAAGTGCCCTTGCTTGGCATGCCTTGGAAACACTGAAGAAGCTGTGTATGGCGCAACCGATGAAACTGTAGACCTCATGGTGTGTGGCTCCCCTTGTGACCCATACTCCGTGCAGAGACACAAGAGGCATTGCAACGGCAACGTGGAAAGTCATTCACTTTTCAATACTACTATGCGCGACATGGTCCGAATGTTCGAACTTTATTCTCCGGTCGTGGCGATCACCGAACAGGTCCCAGGTTTCCTGCTGCCTTTCCACAAGGCTACCACAGAAACGCCGTATGACAGGCACCGGACGGACAGCACAGGGCACAGGGAGACTTAAGTAAGATTCACGACTTCTCCAAGAATGCACGGTAAGGCAAGGCTTCAGGAAGATGTGCAAGGCTGGAGTGGGGTTTAAGTTTAAGGCGAGTTTGAGGTTTAAGGACACGGGCTTCATCAGATTACTTAGGCCAGGTTTCAGCTCGTTTAGCCCAGTGCAGCAGTGTAGTCAGTGTGGTACTGGTAGTGAGTGTAGCAGTGTAGCATAGAGTGTAGTGCAGATTCGCCATAGATTTTCCAGCACTGAAAAACCGAATATCCAATCAGCATCGTGTAGATTCTGAGTCGATGGTTGTTTGAAGCATTCAGGCAGCAGGCAAAGCAATGGCCGAGGAATTCAACCCTCAAACTCATCAGTCTTGAAATGGAGGCTGTTCGACTTATTTGGTACAGAGCACTCAAGTCAGGAAGTCAGTCTGCCAAGATCATGAAGGTGCCAGGCAGTTCTGTGAGATCCATTCCAAGCTTAGATGTGCATCCCAGAGGCTAATAAGGGAAGTGTTCTTGACAGTCACTAGGCCCTAGGCCCAAGGCAGCACATGTTTCTGTTGTCCCACATTACAGGCTGCTGCTGCACATGAAGAAGGGGAACATGAAATTTGGTGGCTACTTCTTGGTGAAGTTCGAGATGGATTCTGCTCTATGGATGCAGATGTCTCGGCCCAGGCGCTGCGGGTTAAGCCTGGATTTTGGAGTAGTTTGACACATTGTGTTCGAGTCTGAATCAATTGGCATTTTGCGAATCTATATATGTGGTTGTCGCTTCCTGTGACTCATTGCAGCTGTAGCAGTAGCAGCTGCAGCAGCACTTTGACAGTGTAAAGTCTAAGCAGGGCATCGGCCTTGGCCGGGTCATTAACCTGGGTAAGACCGGGTAAGAAATCCGTTAAAAGCTCTGCAGCTTTGGGTGTTCAATGGGGTTATTCCTGGTATAAGGACTTTGGACTTTGGAGCATTGCACTGTTGACTCTTGGGTCTTGAGTTTTCTGAGTAGTCTGGCAATAGCTGGTGCTCCCGTGCGGTTGGACCAGACCCCCTTGTTTGGCTTGGTTTCTCGGCATGGTCAATCTGTAGCTGTGAGCTGTAGCTTCACTCGCTGCTTCCTTGCTGCCATTGGGGACCGAAGCCGAGAGAATGCCAAAGGCCAGGGTCAGGGGTTTCCCAGAACTTCAGTGCTGAACTGTCGAGTTTCAGTCCGTCTGTAGATGGATGTGGATCTTTAAGTTTCACATGTGCAAGGTTCTCAAGTATCTGCTAGCTGCTAGCTGCTAGCTGCTAGCTAGATTCTCGAGTCTAGAGTCTAGAGTCCCTTGAAGTTCCCTGAAGACATCTTTCATCTGGTGACCAGATGCTATGCTATGCTATGCTATGCCTATGTAGAGTCTATGTCTGGTGTCTAGTCACTAGTCTAGTCTATGTCGTTACATTACCATTACATTATGTGCTTGTGCTCTAGTCTCCCGTCCATGCCTGGCCTACCTACCCGGATCGACCCCAACCGTGAGGTTCCAATTCTACACGGCCAGGGGTTTTTCGTGAGTCGACTGTTCTCAATCCTCGGACCAAGCAGCCATGGTCGAGCCTGACAGTCGGTGTCACTAGGTCTAGGTGCAGCTGAGTGGCAGCCACAGCCAGAAACACAGCTCAGACTTATTGTTTCCAGAGTTGCATGGTGTCTTTCAATCATTGAATAGAGGTGCAAGATCCACCAGACGTATTATTTCCCGTGTGGGTTTGTGTTGGGTGTGGTCGTCTACGGCCTATACATATGATGGAGTAGTCATTAGTCTTTAGACTTTAGATTCTAGTCAGAATCAATCTTTTTCATTTGCTTTTGATCGTTGAACTACAGAGTGGTTCTCCTGGGTCCTAGGTCGTGTTCTGTCAACGTCTAACAGAATCTCACGTCTTCCCCAACCCCCACAGATCTGAGGATTTCGATGCTTCCGACACTGTGAGCCGAAGAGTCTGTGGGTCTGTGGATTGCGCCCGAACTTGCCGAGCTGTCAGCTCCAACTTCTGGCCGGTCTGACTCCGCGCTAATGTTTCAGGACACGGAGCATGCCACATGCTTGGGAATGTTTTTGACATCCAGCTGAGGCATCAGGCCTAGGACCTAGGACGTACGAGACGTAGCTAGCAGCTAGGACCTAGGACCAGCTAGGACCGAGGGTTTCTGTTGTTGTGCGGTCCAGTGAACGAGTGGCTGTAGATTTTAGATTGCTTTGGATGTCTGAGGCACAGCTTCACAATGCATTACAACATTACAATTACGATGGCTGAACAGTGGACAGCTGTTTGGACCAGCTGCAGGTTTCGATAAGAACTATTCTCAATCTTGTGTGGCTTGAACACCTTTTACCTTTGTGGCCCTCAACAGTCTCAACAGTCACAACACAACCTGATCAGGATCATAATGGACCGGGAGCTTGATGAGGCCATCCGTGATGTCATTGGACCGTCCGACGACGACGACTCTCAGCCCTCTCCAGCAGTGGCAGCGACTAGGACCAGGAAGCCTGGCCGCGGCCGTCCGCGTGGATCTGTGCTCTTGCGGCAGAATCTGCATGAAGTCTCTGATGCGGTGGATGATGCGGCTGCTTCTGCACAGCAGGGCCAGGTGCAAGCCGTGGCGGCCGTGGCGCCTGCTGTCGCAAACCCTGAAAACAGGATGAACCGGGTAAGGGAGCAGAGACTTCAAAGAATGGCAAAGAAAGACTGGCAAGGGCTAGGACCAGCAGATCTGATGATTCGAATGGGTAGTCCTGTGCAGCGATCACTGGCTGCTGCACTTGTGGACATCAGAAGCAGTGCTGCAAAGGGCAGAGGCGGAGTGATGACGGAGCCCAAGGCAGAGGAAGCAGGGTCACCAGAGATGATTGATCATGTCGTCAATGGCAAGGTTCTCACAGCTTCGGCTTCCTTGCTTGCCAGACTCACAGGCAAGGAGGCATCGGTTGCGCAAGGCACTTTAGTTGCTGCCGGTGCCGCCACAGCTGAGACCAACGGCATCATGTTGGGTTCCATGCTTTCTGATTTTTGCAAGATCGCAGCCCAGCAGGGATTGAAACCTCTTCTAGCTGTGACAAAAGTTAGATATGATGAAACTCCTGCCAAAGTTCGGATATGCAGAGCATCGTTCAATGATCAGGCTTCAGACGGTGTCAGGGAAGGCAGTGTCAGTGGCGACATGTCACAGTGCGTGATTGTGCCACACGCATGTGCGAAGGGTCCAGCACTACAGAAGTTCTTGCTGGGCAATGGTGCCTCGTTATCGTCGCATGTTGCACATGTCGCGACTCATGCGAAAGTCCTCCAAACACAAGTTGCAATGAGCTTCGTGTTCGCTGAGAAAGATGGGGACTGCCATTCGTTGACATTTGATCTTCCGTGCCCACTCCAGGTCATTGAGAGAACCACTGGCGAATGTCAGCGCATGTGTATCTGGGAGTCACTCACCCAGATTCCAGAGTACAAGCGGCTGGTCGGCGGCTTCCAGCATCAGGTGCGGTCCGTTTGCACGGACCGTGCTGGTGCAAACTTTCGGACAGAACGTGGTCTGCAAGAGTGGCTGCCGAAACAGGTGTTGATTCACACCCCGTGTGATCTTCATAAAGCAGCTACAGCAATCAAACACACCGTTCGATCTTGTGAGTCTGATATGAGTGGACTAATAAACTCGGCATTGGTCACTCGAGGAGATGCAGGAGCCATGGGTCGCCTACGAGAGATATTGCTGTCAATCCTCGTGTCGACAACCGAGCGTGTGTGTGATGAGTTTCCTCCTCAAGGACGCATCAGTCGGCATCGGATGGAGATGTTTGATCTTTGGCTGCCAACCAAGCATGTGGGTCCAAGTGTTGCCAAGCAGCATCGCAAACGGAGATTCTTGCTGAGCAACCTACTGAACGGCGATTTGCTCAGCTCTGTGCCGCAACATTACTGCCCAGTGGGATGTTGCCAGAGCGATGATGACTTTGTTGGCAAACTCACATCCTTCGGGCTGTGGGCATTGCTGCCTCGGCGCATGCCCTTGCTTTCGAGGAAGAACTGGCTGAACCAGACCCACGCTATGGAGTGGGCAGGATGCCTCGAATCTCATCACCACTTGTTCTCCAAAATCATGATTGCTTATGTGGGAAGGCCAGCTGCCCCGCCCGCCACAGCCACAGATGGTTCAGCTGGCAGTGCACTGGATAATGCTGTCCAAGATTTTCTTCTGGAAGACTTGTCTGGAAACAGAAGTGGGGAGCAGGCTGAAGCAGAACAGATCCCTGAGCCTGAGCCGAGTGTTCAGGAACCTTCGGGTGAGCCAGTGTCAGCCACGACAGCTTTTGCAGAAGAGAACAGGCTAAGGCGTTTTTCGGTCAGAGAATACATTTGCTCGAAGCCTCTTCCCCGACTGTGTGTTCTGAAGGAGGTTCTCAATGCCATTCACTTGGTCATGACAGAATTCCTGGCACTTTCCAGTTCTGCATGGGAGCAGAAACAGGCTGCCAAAGCTGCTTTGCAACAGCCTAGAGATTACTTGGTTCTGCAAGCTGCACGAGGCACACAGATCCACCGCTGCATGGACAAGTTGGTCCAAGTTCTGTGCGAGGAACGACTAGACTCAGTCAGTTTTCTGGCCTGCAAGTTTCGTGCTCTTCGTTTTTGCAGTGCAAGTTCCGGCTTGTGTTGCTTACACGGTCTTCTCCGTATTCCTCGCAGGTCAATCACCTATCAGGGCTTTTTGCTTTTGGACAGCAGGAGCCATGCTGATGCCCAGAAGCTTCTGGACACTCCACCGTGCTTGTGACTCTTCCCGGTTCAGTCACTTCAGAATGACATGAGGCATGTAGGCTAAGTTTTCCATTTTTTGCAAACAATCATTGACAGTTTGTTGGGCTGGCTGCTAGCTTTTGCTTTGACTTTGACTCTTTGACCATTGACACTCCGCCTGAAGAGTTCCTGAAGGAGCTTGGGCCAGGGTTTTGGGTCCGCGGTCGCAGGTTCTGGATAGATAGATAGACTCTATATTGACTCTAGTCTCCGGCAAATAATTCCTGATTCTTCTTTTGCCTCAGGGGAGGGAGGCTCAAGGCTTAAAGCTTAAGGCTTAAGGCATAAACCTTTAAGCCTTTAAGCCTTAAGGGGTAGGCCAAGCCGTAGACGTAGAGGCCCCTAGAACCCCTCGAATCGGGAGGGCTTTATAACACATTTCGACAGAGTTTCGAAGCATTGTCGGAGTCAGCTGCAGCATGCTGCTAGCCCAAGGAAAGATGAGTTCTTCAGTTTCATGTGCAGAACCTTTCCATCACCAATGTCCCTGCTGGGAAAAGATGCTATGGCAATTCTGCAAGCCACAGCAGCCAGCATCAGTGTGGACATCGGCGAGATAGAGTCGTGCCACTCGCTGACACGAGATTTCATCAATGTCAGAGCCAAAGGATGGGTGAGTTCCTTGGAAACTGTATCGGCCTTGCATATCCTGCAACAGCGGCGCAAGATTGTGAAAATGACTACTTCCCGAGCGGCTGATGCGAGAGCGACAACCCAAGACATGAAGAAGCCCGGGCCGAAACGGAAGGACTCCAAGGAGAAAAAGAAGGGAGGTGGTGGTGGTCCTTGGAGGGCCTTCGTCAGCTATCGTCTGCGTGGAGTCAGGGCTTCCAGCCGAGACGACGACAACATCTTCGCAGACCTTGCAGAGGAGTATCAACACCTGGGTGATGCTGACCGAGCATGGTTTGCTGATGTAGGTCGTGCGGGCACACTGGCTCACAAGCGAGGCCACAGGGCTTTTGGCGACACTTCGTATGCTCGCCGCATTGCAGATGGCTCAGATGGCAGACATGACGATGCCCAACGGGATGCTGCTGCTGATGCCGCCATCGTGGCGCATGATGCACCTAGATTCGACTTTGGCTTGGTGCCGGTCGCCGGCATGGACTTGGCTGCCAAATATTCGGAATTCAAAGAAGCTTTGGAGAAGGAGGCCCGTGCCTCTCAAGGTGACCCGCTTGCTTTGACGGTGGCCGAAGCATCCAAGTTGGACATGATTTCAGCTGATACACAGGCCCTTCTTGTGAGAGAGGCTTGGGAACGTGGCGGTCATGCTGAGCTTCAGAGCAATATGACTCGGCAGCCTTCTACACCAGCAATCAAGCACGCTTACCAGTGGACGCCTCCTACCGACAAAGCTGTCAAGGCCCATCAGATTCAGGTTGATTGGTGGCTATTGATTAGTTAGTTATGATTCATGGTCAGTCGGTTAGTCTGTGGCCGACTTTGTTTTCCGAGGGTCGTTTGGGATTATTGCTTCCTTGCTGTGTTGGGCTGCTACATTTCTGCCACTTACGGCTTACGGGGCTGCTGCTCTTCCGGAGATCGGCCTTGGCTGGGGTCTGGAGAGTTTGGAGTCTGGAAGTTTAGTTTGAGTGTTTGAGTTTTGAGGGTTAAGGCTTGAGGCTTAAGGCTTCAGTTAAAGTTAAAGCTTAAGGGCTTAAGGGTTAACGGTTCGGTTCGGTTAAGTTAAGTCAAGTCAAGTGTAAGTCTTAAAAGTCTGAACTGTAACTTAAATTTAAATCATTTAGTCAAGGTCAAGTCAATTACTCGTGCTTGAATTGTATGCTGTAGGTTTACTTTAGTTTAGTGTTTAGTAGGTTATCGTAGGTCGTAGATAGGCCCTAGGCCCTAGGCCCTGGCCCTGGCCCGAGCCCTAGGCTTTTAGGCCGGCTTAGGCAGGCAAGTCAGTGTGGGACAACTATAACAACTATAGTAACTATAGTTACTACTATAGTATACATGGTATTACTTAGTATGAATATCACATAATCAACAGTATAATCCGGACCTCACGGCTCAGTACAGTTTAATCAGTTGAATCGTAAGTTTAATCATTGTCTGTATCAGTATAATAATAGTATAGCAGTTAAACTAGTACCTAGTTACTAGCAAAACTTAACATCATAATATAACAGCTTCGTCTAGCAGGCCAAGCAGCAGGTAGGCAGTGGCCAGGCCATAGGTCGTTTAGGTCAGTTAGGTAGCAGTCACTCAGTTAGCAAGTAGCAGGTGCCAACGAGCGGCCACCAGGCGCTCGCCTCGTGTCAGTGTTGTCAAGTGTTGTCATTTGCAATTTTCCTGTTATTCTGTTGGGTGTCTAGAGTCTAGAGTGCCAGTCTCGGTTGTGTCCAAAGTGTACAGTCTGCTACAAAGTCTACAGAGCCCAGGACCTCGGACCTAGGAGTGCAGAACCTGTTTCGCAGAGAGACAGCAGGCATAGACACAACAACGGCAACGAAGTGGTAAACTGGTCAGCTCCTGAAATCGAACTCCCAAGGGTCAACCAAATTAGTTAAATATAAAAGAATTCGTAGCTGGTTGAGGTTGTAGTGAAGTGCTTGTAGATTGCAGCGTACAGTGCACTGCACACTCCCGACTGTTGTGTGGTGCAGTAGGTCGGTGTATCCCACAGGAATGCAGGAAATTTGGAGTGGGGGCACTGTAAGTCTTAGCAGCTACCAGCAGTCTAAACATCACCTGGCTTGCAGGACCTGCTGAAGGACTCCACCGCAGGTGCGAGACGGAAGCACAAAGTGTCAGCGACCTTAAGAGCTGCTTGGAGCAAGCGCTGCGGGGTGCACATGCACAAGAGCCAGGAACCCATTCCGGCAGTGGTTCCTGGTGCATTCGTTCCCAAGCCCTGCTTTGGCTTCGGTGTCTGTGTGTGTGGCAAGTCGCCCGCATCTTGCCCTGATGCTGCGTTTATGTGTCAGAACATGCAGCAGTGGATGCGGGCCACATTCTACAAGACGAATAAGGTTCCCGGCACGGCCAGAAAACTTCTGGAACAGCAGTTGCTCGTACTGGCCTTCGAACCGGGCCCTGCGTGGCTCTTGGAGGGTGACAATCAGGAGGGGCATGTTCCATGTCCTGATGATGCTCAAGTGCCAGATCGTTTGTTCCTGCACATCGGGCATTGCAATTACAGTACCTGGCATTTCGTAGGGATGCGAATGAATGTTTCTGAAGAGCATGAGGAATTTCGTGACATGGACTCGGGATGCAATGTGCTTCAGGTGGCCGTGACTCCACCTGAGTTAGCCCCGGAAGGCTACGATCATGGCGTTGTGAGCGACTTGGAGTTTATGGCCAAGATGGACTTGACACGGTCATGGAAAGTTAAGGGCCACATGATTTCACTCAGCGAGAAGCATTGGCAGCATCTGGATGCCTCTTCCCAGGTTGTCCCCCTCTTGGATGTGCAGTTGTCTGATCTGGAAGGCCAGGATGTCTTCTGGGTTTGGCGTGGGTCTGTTTATGAAGCCGACCAACGATCCAGACAAGCAGCCAAGAAAACCAAGCAGCGGGGCCGTGGTGAAAAACGAAAGGCTGCTGGACCTGCAGACAAGAAGAAGGCCAAGAAGCCCAAGCCAGCAGAGCCGGCCGGTTCTGCAGATGTGGCAGATGAAGGTACGGCTCAGCATGCAGCCGAAAGCCTGGACATAGAGACCATTGGTGAGTTGCTGGATCCGTACGGCGAGCGTGCCCATGGGTCAGAAGATGAACAACCGGATGCTCAAGAGCCGAATGATCCCTCTGCCGAGCTTGATGAAAGACCGATGGAAGTGCATCCTGCAGGGGGAATCGGATCTTGGAGTGATGATGAGGAGGCTTGCCCGAACACTCCCGAACGTGTTCCGTCTGAAGCCAGTATGGACGACTTCATGGACCACTTGCTGCAGCAGGGCTCTGAGGCAGTTGAAGCAGATGAGGATGTGAGGCCGAAGCCCCACGATGCAGGGGCTTCTCCTGCCGGCGAACTGGCAGCCGAAGCCGCCGATGCACCCAATCCGGCTCGGGGATCTGGTGATGATGCAGCGACTGAGAGACCGGACCGTGCGCCGTTTAGAAAGAGTGAGTTCCAGCTCACCTGTGGCAAACTTCGGTACTATGCCCACACGAACACACTCATCGCGATATGCGACAACCCGGCGCATGACGACTGCCGAAAAGAACGGTCGCTCCTGGCTCACCCACGTTCCAAAGGCCGTGGCACCCTGGGTGGACAAGGGCGTCCACTCGGTGCCCTTGTGCACTGGCTCAGATCCCAGTTTGAGTATGACACTCATCAGAAGCACATGAAGTGCAAAGGTAGCAAAGCTGAAAGACTGCAGGCTCGAGAGTGGCTGGCAACTCAACTTGGCCCTGAGGATATGGAGCGGCTGAACTCCCTAGAAAGACCCAGAAGAGAAGACGAAGATGAGGAGCCTGATGCCATCCTATAGACTCTGGACTATAGAAGTCTGTGTCGCTAAGCCGCTAAGCTACCTGTGCAGCTTCAAGATGCCAAAACGAAGCATTCCTCCTTCCGTCTGTACGTGCGTGTGTCGGGGTGTGCGGGGTTCTTGGGATTCAATTTCGTAGAGTCGTAGACCGTTGCCTTCGAGAATTTCTGGATTTCGGGATTTGGTCTTCAATATCCGAAAATCAGCCTTGGTTTGCTGGCTCAATCTTCACTGTGGCTTATTTCAGCTTCTGGAACTTCATCATCACTGGCTTTTGATCGCCATTCATAGTTTCCGTGTCTGACTAGGTCGAGTCGAGAGTCTCGGTCTGGCTAGGTCGGCCAGGTCGACTAGGTCTGGTTGCTCGGCTTACATAGTGCTGCTGGCTCTAGGTGGGGTACCGATTCCTAGGTCCTAGGTCCTAGGTCCTCTGAGCCCACACCTGTGCACCGTGAACCCTGCTTTACCTCGATGACCTCCTGCTAGTTACTAGTTACTCGTAACACTAGCAGCAGTCACTAGCACTAGCAGCAACAGTGGCAGTGCCCCAGTCAGTCATTGCTGAGTAACCTCGGAAGCTGCAGCAGATGTAGCACCCAATGTACCAGCGGCAGTGTAGCAGCGTGGCACAAAGTCGCAGTCCAGGAACAGAAGTAGCAGTCGCAGTCGGACGACCAGTAGGTCAGTAGGACTGGCAACAACATCTCGTCGTTTTCGCCCCTGTGGTCAATTGACAAAGTTTCCTGCCTAGCCTTTCTTCAGCCTTAGAGAGCCTTTGAGCTTAAAGGATTAAAGCCACACCTTAGAAAAGACCCAAGTTCCAGTCTGGGCAGGTGTTACATCATCTTCTTCCGCAAGGACAAATTCGAGAAAGCCCACGTGAAGCGGTTCAAGACATTGGTTGAGGCCAGTCAGTGTTTTGTGAGAGACTCTCATTCCAATCTCTGTGGCAAAGGCCAGCTTTGTGCATTCTGGGAGTTGGGTATGGGTACCGGGTAGAGTCCAGTAGAGCAGCAAACTGTTTGTTTGTTTATCGGCGCAGTGTGGTGGCCAGTGTGGTGAGTGTGGTGCATTGCTTGACAAGATAAGCTTGCCAAACATGTGAAGAATTCCCGTGAGGGCTTGAGCACTTAGCAGGCTAAGCATGCACTAAGCTGCCATCTTGGTTATGGCAGTCTTGGTTATGGCAGGATATCTTGGATTGGCTGGCTGCCAATCATTCACCGAGATCTATGACCTCGCTGATGCTGGAAGAGTGCAGTCCTCTTTTCGCAGAGGAGTGGCAGCAGACGTACAAGCAGCGTCGGGGTGCACAGGCAGCAAGCCTGCAGGTGGGAAGTTTCCAGTCCAAGAGCTCATGCATCATGCTCGCAAGCAGCAACTCTCAACATGGATCACAGTCAGGTTTTGCTCCAGTGCACAGTGTACACAGTGTACAAGCTGGGAAGCCCATGTGACTTAAAACACAAAATACGTGTTGGTAAACGTCATTTTGGCTGCCACGGTTCGCTTGAGTGGGTTCGGGCAATGTGGTGCCAGCTCGAGGGGCAGGGGGTCAGGCCCGGTTAGGCTTGGGTACAAGGTCGGATAGGGCGGAGTTTTGGGGGGTGGTGATAGCCGAAAAGGTGAGAAAAGCGAGCGAAGGGGAGCTGGGCAGATAACGCAAAGATTTCGCAATGCTGGGAGGGGAAGGGCCGGGGCCAAGCAAAGATAACGCAAAGATTTCGCTTTGCTGGGAGGGGAGGGGGCGGGGGGGAGCAAAGATAACGCAAAAAAAACGCAACCAAAACGCAACCAAAACGCAACCAAAACGCAACCATAACGCAAACATTTTGCAATTTTCGCCAAAACGCAAGGATAACGCAAGAAAAACGCAACCATAACGCAACCATAACGCAATGTTTCGGGGGGGAGGGGCCGGGGCTGGGGGAGGTCGGGGGGGCTGGCGTGGGGCTGGGGGCCGGGCTTGGGGGGGGCCTGGGGGGCTGGGGGGGGCCTGGGGGGGGCCTGGGGGGGCCTGGGGGCTGGGGGGGCCTGGGGGCCTGGGTTGGCCTGGGCTGGGGGGGCCTGCGGGGTGTTTGGGGGGGGTTGGGGGGGGGGTTGGAAAGGAGCCACCGTCCCACCGACCGGAGTGGGGGGGGGTTGGGTCGGTTGCGGCTGGTTGGAGGGGCAACAAATTCACGCTTGCAGACCTGCAAATCAAGAACCAAAGCCAGAAAAGCTATGTCTGAGTCTCACAGTCTTAAAATATTATTCAAATCGTGCAATACTAGCTGCAGTAGCTGCTAGCTCACTAGCTGTCAGTGGCTCACTACCAGAAAATCAGTACCAGTAAGCAGTTCTGCAGCTGTAAATAGTGTCATTCGTTCACCCTGATTTGGGAGGCACCGCAACAGTGGCAAGTGCAAAGCTCAAAGATCCGTCAAGAGCTGGGAGTGGGCCAGAGCACACAGCTCTGGACATCTCACCCTGACTTGAAACTGGCTGGCGTTCCTGAGAATGCCAGGGTCAAAGAAGTACTAGACCTTGCAGTATATGGGTACCTGGGCAGTGATTTGGCATGTCAGTTGCTTGCAGGGCGTCAGGCAGCTGATGCTGAGGCTTTGAAGTCCATGTGCAGCGAGTTGTTCACAGACATTTCACAAAATCCTTATCGGAAGACCTTCACTCGCAAGAACGGCCATGCTCCATGCATGACCACTGCGACATCTTTCTACTGCCATAGCAGGGATCGAATGGTCCTTCCAGTGGAGATGCTTTATTTTCAAGGTCATGACCTTCGGATGAAGATCCCGAGCCAGATGCCCAGAAGTTCCCTCCAAAGCCTGGCAGGTCAAGGAATTTGCTTGCCAGTCCTGGCAACTTTGGTGTTCTGCTTGCAGAACACAGACAGTTTGCCTGTGTAGCAGTGTAGCAGCCTAGCAGGACAGCAGTCTAGGCAGTGTAGAGGCAATGCCAGCTTGAGCTGAAGCTGCAGTGGCTGCAGCTTCCGTGTGCAGTCTCAGATCTACAGTGTTGCCTTTGCCATGCAGCCGGTTGGCCTGCTGCTGGAAGGTTGTTTAGAGAATATTTCATGTTGTGTGGGCACAGACAGAGACACAGTAGGATTCTGCCCAACCGGCATTCCAGGAGTCGAGGTCTAAAGGACTAGAGTTGACCAGAGGCTGTTTGTACACCTAATGCTGCAGACTGGAGGCCGTCTTGCCTGGGTCCTCGATCAATGATATGAAGCAGAGTGTCAAATTAGCAACCAACAGAACGTGCTCTGGTATTCCTAGATTCTAGATTCTAGCCCATACTTGCTTGCCAGTGCTAGACCCTAGCCGCCCTAGCCAGCTGCCAGGGTGTATCATCGGTAGCCGGTAGCAGTGGCACACATTGACATGGATACCTTCCAGTACAGAAAGCCGGTTGCTTGTGATGCAGAAAAATGAGAACCCTTGTTTTTTTAGCGAAGAAACGATGCGGCAGCCCTTTGGGTGGCTCCGTGCTTGAGGGTGCCACCTGGTGGCTCAGGAACAGCATTCGGTGAGGCCAGCCCAATGTCCAGCTTTTGCATCAGACATACCGGGGTATTAGCATTAGCCAGTAGTCACTAGTCAGTACTAGACTTGCCGATGGGCTGGTTTGCTCACATAGAATGTCTTGTTGCTCGGTGGTCTTTGTTGCTTACCTTGTGGCAGCCTTCTTGCCAGTGCTTGTCTCTGGAGCTGTAGGCCACTGTAGGCCACTTTAAAACCTTAGGACTTTAGGCCTTCAGGCCCTCTTCTAGGACTCTAGGCCCTTTATACTTTATAGCCAAGGCCCAGGCTTGAAGCTTTTCCTTACACTTTACTCCCGGCCCTTCCCTTTGGACGCTTAAGCCTCGCAAGCCTTAGGGAGCCGTTTGTGTCGTTTCTACCAGTGCTGTACCGCTAGGTTAGTAGTGAGTAGTGGTTAGGCCCTGGTTAGGCGTTCATTATGGCCATAGAATCATAGAACTTAGGTCTTGCAACATTTCCAACGATGGCCTCGTGCTGCAACTTTGTTGTTTGATGGCCCGAGTCAACTTCGCACACCAGTGGCACAAAAAACTTCGGATCGTTTCCTTCCCCGGACCATTGACAGAGCTAGCAGCTAATTGAGTTGCGAAAAGGTATACTTGCCGTACCAAGCATGTCTGAGATATTGTGCATCGCTCCTAATTGTATGAGGCCCTAAGACTCTAAGACTATAAGGTACTTCCATGTGAAGTCTACCCAGGGACTCCAAAACCGCTTGATTAAACACCCATAATTAAAGAATATACCTTAAATTATCACCGGATCCCTCACAGGACTTAAGGCATATTCCTTCATTGAAGCGGTTTTCCAGTCCCTGGGTACAGCTGTTTCTGTTGTGGCCGAGATCCAGAGCAATCCAACAATGTGCTACAAGACCACACTTTTCTAGAAATTTGTTGGTGCAGTGCCAGCAGTTATATGCACTCAGAGTTTCCCACTTCCATGTTGCAGCATGTATATTTACATGGAGACCCTAAGTCCCGGCCCTCTGTGAAACTTCCCTATTCTGCACCAACTGCTCGGCTAGTACCAAGACTAGACTAGACGCTGTGTCAGATTGCTGGGCTGAGCAGCTTATAGCAGCTACCTCACCTGACAGTCTCTGATCACGGGCTCCATAGATCCACACCCGCAATACCCATGGTCCTATGTGGTGAGACACCTGTATTTCACTGGATGCTCTATTAGACTCATGGTGGTGAGAGACCCGAGAGCTAGCTCGTAATGGCTAGAGTAGTACCCCTCTCCATGTGCCAGAATCAGATGTGCCCGTGGGTCGGATTCTGTCGAGTTTTTTTTGGATTCAATGTACGAGTTCCAGCATTGAAGCAGCAGCAAGCGAGGTATGGCATGGCCAGTTTGTCGAAATGGGTTTGTGTGGAGTCCGAGGTCCTAGGTCCTAGGTCCTACGGTTGATGATATAAATCCTGCATTACCCATAGTGAGGAATATGCCATTATTCCCAAAGTCTAGTGTCATTAAGGTAATGCAGGATTTACATCATCCACCGTAGGTCCCAGGTCCCAGAGTCCCTAGAGTCCTAGAGTGAGCCCTAGAGTACCCTAGAGGCCCCTAGAGTCCCTAGAGCCCTAGAGTCCTTAGAGTGTTGAATCATTCGGTCGGTGACATGCCACTGGCCGCTGCCATAGTATATAGGCCGCCCATCCGCTAATTACGTGCAAGGCATTCGTCAACTTGTGGACTAGGTGACCGGCCGGCGACAGACACGCACAGAAAGTCTTGATATTCAGAAGTTGTCGTGCTTCGCAGGCTTGCAAAATTCGTGTAAATTTTGGGAGGTTTCTGAGAATGTGCAATTCCTATATCTTCGTCGGTAGCATCCGGTAGGTCCACTTATACGTGGCGGCAGATTTCCAGATTTGCCATCGGAATCAAGGGACGATCAAGCCGCATCAAGCAAGCCGGTTGAGTCGGTTGAGTGTGCCAGGAGGGAGTGCAGTGCTGCTTCCACTTCTCCAACCATTAGCTGTAGCTGTTAGTGGCTGTCACTGTAGCTGCAGCTCAACTCTTGCTCTCGTTGCTGCTTATTGCTCAGGTTCGTACAGTGTCCAGCTTGCAGTTGTGTCAGTGCCGGGTCGGCTTCCGTGCGGCCTCTGTCCTAGGACCTAGGAGGCATGGCGGCTCGCAGGAGTGTCGCCCTGCTGCAAGCAATGCCGATGTCATGCGTGTAACAGTGCAACAGTGTAGCGTTGTAACTGTAGTGATGACTTAGTAGTTTAGTAGTGACATTGTAGTGACTGTAGTGAAGTCATGTAGTACTGTAGTACCGTACATGTAGCGGTAGCGGCAGCAGGTAGCGACTGCACTGTATAGTGTAGTAGTAGTAGTAGTAGTAGTAGTAGTAGTAGTAGTAGTAGTAGTAGTAGTAGTAGTAGTACTAGTAGTGCAGTGTAGTGTAATGTGCCAGACATGACAGTTGTTGCTTTGCTTTCGTCACTGTTTCTGCTCGCTGGTATTGTTCAGTGCTCAGAGTCGCCAATGTTCATTTGGGCAACATTCCTGTGGACTTTAAACAACTCTATACTTTACAAATGAGAGATCGATTCTACTCGAGTCCAGTGTTCGGAGCCTGGGCTTGCAGCTTGTGGTTCTTGTATAGTATAGTTTGTGAACTGAATATTTGTGCTGGGAGCACAGAAAGGCAGTCAATGTCCCATGTCCCATGTTGCAGACTCGTGGCTGTTAGGACGGACGTCAGGAGGTTGAAGGTTTCAGGCTTTGTTGCAATTCGGCTGCTAGGAGAGGATTGGTTGCGGGCATTAGCGCGAGGCATTAGGCACAGAGTCAGGGAGGCAAGAACCCCAAATTCTTGGTGGAACATTGTAGATTGTCAATTGTAAATGCTACAGTAGGAAGGGCTTCTGATTCTGGCAAACCGTCTTTCTGTAGTCCAGAGAGAGCTGTTCACACACAAATCAGTTTAGTATAGTATAGTCATTAGTCATGATGATCCGAATTGCGCAAGTTTTGAGGTTCCAGGCCAGTTACAGTTACAATGACAAGCAAGGAAGCAGGACTAGACTATAGACTCTCACACTGCGCGGATTCCGAGGCATTGATGAAACGAGAGGAGCGGGACGAGGCCCCAGCCCCGAAAGCAGCACCGCCGACAAAGCGGATCAAGACCAAGAAGGAGTTTCCTGTCGTCATCTGCGTCTTCAGGGGAGAATCGTCCAAGGACCCATCCGGAAGTGTGCATGCATGTCTCTGTGTGCCTATGTGTGTATGCGATGGCTGATTGCAATGGTCGAATGTGAGTTGTTATGTGATGTTCAGTGGTGTCAGCTCGGCCGGCACAGGGAAACGAGGCTGGTGTAGCTCAGGACTGAGGCAGGCACCCACCCCGCTCCAGATCGAAGTGTAGAGGACTTGTCAGTTAGGAGAAGTCTTAGTCACTTACTAGAAACTATGATAGCTGGATAGCTCTATCGACCTTATCGTGTGCTAAATCTGCTAAATCACTAACTGAATCACTGGTGCTGTCACGAACAGAACCCACATTCGTGAGGCTCGACGTTTCGGGCCATGTGTGTGAGCCGATTTAAATGATGCGGCAGGACAAGCGCTTCGCTGAGGTTGAGCAGTCTGGAAAAATCCTGGTGCCTGCTTGCTGGGATTGTGCAGACTGCGCCCTGAAGCTGAGACCTGGCGTTCCCCTGAACATCTTGTGCGAGTGGTATGTAGCCGGACCTGCATGCATCCAGGACCCTGGATTCAAAGCCGAATTTGATGGGGCGATCAAGGTGTGGCACGCATTGTCGATGGCCGAGGCGACAAAGCCTCGATTCTCTCCTGAGGCTTCGGTGTTGAGCCGCCAGGTTTATGGAATGCGGATTGTTCAGGAATTCGGCTTGCTGACGGAGAATGAATACATTCAGGTGATCGGCAATTCGCCGAGTGTGTTGCCGAAGAACAAGGCCTTGAGACCGGTCTCCCTGCCGTTCTTCTCCCCGAACAGCAACACTAACTTCTATGTCATCGACCTACTTGGTGCCGACCCGCAGGTCCTGAGTGGGATGAGAAGGGCTGAGATCTACTATGACACGAGCAGCGAGTTGGCCGAGGCGGTCTTGCAAGGGGCCCAGCAGCTCTCGGAGAACCAGGGACACAAGGTTTTCGACTACTTGGCTGCCGGCATGACCGAACGTCGCCCAGCTCCTTTGAAGGGATCCGCGAAAGCCCGCCCGAAGAACATCCAGCAACTCCTCAGCGAGCACGACCTTCAGGAGGCCCAGGTCGAGGTACCGGCAGTAGAGGTTGTTGAGAACGACGAGGAGGAGGAGGACACAGGGGCAGCTGCTGCTGCTGGGAGCTCCACCGATGGGCCGAGTCGCATTGCTGGC